CCTGCAGAAATTCTTGATGCCTCTCCTCCTTCCTCACCCCTTAATTCCCACTCCAGGAGATTTTATCTCCTGACCTCCCTCAGCATCCTCTGGACGTGGGATCTCCTACTCTCACACAAGTTCTGSCTGCTGGGACTCAATCAAATGAACACATTTTCCCAAAATTGCAGCGTCCTTTTGAGAGCTCACAGCGTTTCAAAATTCCTCTGCTAGCAAAGCACTGCTGTGTTTCTGGGAAAAAAAAAAAAGAAATAATTTTGTTTGTAACGGTACTGCACATCTCTGATCTGTGTGAGCACAGGAATAAGGTGCAAACTCTGAACTGTCAGAACAGGGACAACAGGAGGGGTAAATGTAATATATAAATACTATAATTATATATATAGTATATATATAATATATAATATATTATATATATATAGCATATACAATATATAATTATATATATAGTATATATATAATATATATAGTATATATATTATATATATATAATATATTATATATATAATATATTATATATATAGTATATATAATATATAATTAAATATATATTATATATATAATATGTATATAATGTATATATAGTGTATATATATAATGTATAGAAAACTGTAATTAAATCCTCAGCACTGAGTGGACAAAGTTATAATGTACATTTTTAGCCTGGGGTAATCGACAAATTTTTAATGTAAATAATTAATAGCTTCACCAAGGAACATCTTGTATGKATGGATATAAGAGCCCTATTCCCTAAGGGACTTTTGATGGGTTTTTTTTCCCTTTCTCCTCTTTCTTCCCCAAGTGACACCAGCCTCAGGGGCTGCTCTGCTGACAAGATCTCTCATTTTATGCAGGGCAGAATTCTCTACATAATGCAAAGSTGCTCTAGGAAGCTTTTSCTRGTTCTTCAGCCTTCAAAACACAATWTCCTTGCTCCTGTAACCTGACAACAGAACTAYCTTCTGCAATCAAACCATCCTGCCCAGTAAAGTTTCAGGGAAAGACAACAAATACTGCATCAGATGGTGAGAAACCATCTCCTGAATGTTGTGATGGGATCCTGAGAATCCCTTTCTCCAGGCACAGCCAGAACACAGGGCTGGGAGTGCTGCCCCTCTGCCCATGACTGATTTTGTAACTTCAGGACAGTAAATTTCCCTTTTTGCCTTTTGAGAAGTTGCTCCACTGAGTGAGAAAATCTCCTTCAAGAGGAAAGGACAAGAGCACTTTATCTCAGAAGGTTTAGGTYCTCTGAAAGTCGTCCACAGCCCTCCACATTTCAGGACACAAAAAGGGATACAGAATGAAGACTGAACATGAGTTGCAGAAGTAACTGGTTGCAATTATTTATATTCTCAGGTAAAATAAAAAATAAAATAAAATAAAATAAAAAGTTTGTGCTCAGGCCCATTTCCAAGTACAATCACCACAGTAGTTACCATGCAAGATATCACAACAATCAGCAATAAATCTCAGCCAAAGTAGGCTACATTTGCCACAAACTAAATGTTTCCTACCATTACTTATTCATTAGGACATATATTTTTAGTGCATGATATTTTGCTACTATTTTATTTTACTTATGCTTCACTCCTGTGCATGTAGAAATGTGCAGGTGTGAAAGGAGCAAAAAAAAATTGTAGATGCAGAAAAGGGAAATTAATCATAACTCACTTAATTTATTAAAACAAGCTCCATCTAATGTATCATCTACAGAATGTGGAAGAAAAAAAATCTTTATGACAAAGTAGAGTATGTTAATTAGCTAATTATAGATGATAGAGCAGATCCCCATCAGGGGATGACTACAGGAATATTTTAACTGAGGAGCACTCCATGACCTTCAGTGGCTGCAGCTTCATGACATCTCCCAAATTAAATTCCTCCCACAAAYTGTTGTACTCACAGCTATGATCTTAATGAGTCTATTCCTGTTCCCTAATTTGGCAAAGAGGAAGACCAAAGATATTGAACAGAAGTTACTCCAAAGTACAAATTATGTAGGTATGGGTTTGCAAATAATGAACCAACCCAGTGTTTTGCCAGTTTCATACTTTTTGCTGTTGGCTTTGCCTGCTGTTAAACTGAGCAAGAAAACAAAATTAAAACAAAATTAATCATGCTGGCTTGCAATTTACTGAAACCAACCATGAAATATGACAATASTAGAAGGCAAAGTTGGAAATAACTGGTGTGGTTGTAAAAGCATTGATATTTGTGACATGTGAAAGTGTACTTTTGATATTTTTTATTGTATCATATTATAGGATCACAGAATAAYGGAAATTACACAGAGTATTTGGAGTTATTCTAACCACTTCAAGTAGGTATTCCATACAGAGTACCACAAGAAATATAAAAATAATATCAAAAGGAAATCCCTAAATAGTGAGTATCTGAGAAGATTTCAGAACTGATGTAAGAGAGAATTCATTTTCAAACTGCAAAAACCAAAGAACAACCTCATCTATCAATACACATTATTGACCAATCAGCTCCCCATTCTTTTGAGAGCATCACATCCAAAGGATGTGTAGATGGAGCAAAATATCAGGCAAATGTGAGAGAATTTCTTGCAAATTCAGATAATCTTCACTGGATTTGCATTATATGAAACAGTTCTCTGACCATATCACATTTTATAAAAGGCTGCAGGTCATGACTAAAACACCAGAACTGATGAATGCCCTCTTACAGGGGACAGTTTTTAGATTTATTATCATTCAAGGCTGCTGGATGTGGCAGGTGATTGATTTAATCTCAATTTTATGTGGAATTCATGCACGTGCTCAGTTCTGCACAGCATCCAGACCCAAATTTTGGGCTCCTGTGAGTATTGTCCCTGCAACTTTTGTAGAAATTCGGTTTTCAGATATGACCCATGACTGCACTACCCAAAATCTAGAAATCTGCATCACTGTCAGAACTTGATAACCAATATATCAAATGAAGGATGGAGACAGAAATTTTTTCTTAATAATCTCACTGCTTTCAAAATGTCCTTTGCTGACTTTTCTGTAAAARAACTTTTCTTTAGAGTGAACATCTGTGCATGCCTGAATGTTTCTGTCAGATTCTCAGTAAGCTAATTACTAAAAAACTTTTAAATGTTGAAAATAACAGTCATCTGAAGGTTAAATTTATGTTGAAATATCTTCTTACAAACAAGAAAAAAAAACTCTTTAAAGCCTCATATTAAAAATACATATTTCTCTAGGCAGTGCTTAAGTGCAATGACTAAAATGTTACATTTTACAAAATGTTGAGCTTTTTGCCCCCAAGTTTCCTGCAGAGAAAGTCTCTGTTGCTTCTTTAAAATATCAGGAACATTATGACACAGCAGGGTAAAAGCAAGAAAAAACTAAACACTCTTTCCTTCCAAATGGCCTATTTATTCTGCACATAAAAAATAAGTTAATGATGCAGTGTGCACTAGGCCAATTCACTCAAATTATTCACCATTTCTTTTAAGATTTCTGGTCCTTAGCACTTTTGCATTCCCAGAACCTTTTTGAATTGCTTTCTGTTTTCCTCTGTTCTTCATTCGTGTTTCTCTACAGTAAATTCCAGATTATTTTCTTCTGCTCAGCTTAACTCCTCTGCTTCTCTTCAGGATAAAAGGGATTTATCAGTCAAGATGCACAACTAGAAATTCAGTCACTATTATGTGACACAATTATATTTTTCTTACTGTAGCCAGGGTGGGATTTTTTTGTATCAAAATTTCTCTGTGCATCTGAGTTTTCATTGTAATTGCCTGATGCATCTTTACAGACTCAGGCTTTTCAAAGAAAATCAGAGGATCATTTCATGGACAGAAATCATCATTAATTTCCACAAGGTTTAGAACAACAGAGGTTTATGGGTCTTGCTTGAAATCAGATCTTAATTACTTTGAAATTGGTGTTGAAGTGCTGAATAAATAAATAACATGACCATAGAATCATAGAATAGTTTGGGTAGGAAAGGATCTTTAAAGGTCATCTAGTCCAAGACGATTTGGACTATAAATAAATTTATAAATAAATTTATTTGCATTGTAAAATATTCATTTGTAAGGTAGATGGTAAAAATACAAGTCTCATATTTTGCAAAAATTGAACTCATGCTTATGAAGCAATATGTTATTTTTAAGTTGGTTTCAATATTCCAAATACACTGAATTCTTAATATTAATTCTTAATATRCTGAATAGTTATTAGCAACTACTTATTAGGCTGGTTGATATGTTCCATAAATCATTGAATGCAGCCTCCAACATGGTCTATGTCTGAAATAACAGAAAATCCCAAGGATTATGACTTCTTATATTTTGTCTTTGAATTATGGAGTGTGACTCCAGCTTCATTGAAATAACTGAAAATCTTTTTACTCAGAGAAATTTCTGGATTAGCTTTCTTCTTCTAGTGCCATGAAAAGAACCTCTCTTTTACTCACCTGCTTCTTGCAGCTACTGTTCAGCTTTGGGGACATATTTCAGCTCACTCTTTATGTTCTGGATCTCTGACAAGTTGACAGCAGGACCTGGAAGTTTCTTAGCTCCTGGGATGCGTTTTTTCTCTTTCTCCTCCTCCGTTGAAGCAGGAACATTCTGCACAAAACGACACCAGTGACCTTCCTGCTGCAATTGCCATCTCTTAAACATGAGCATAGATCACTTATTTGAAAAACAGGAAAGAATGTTTTTAACTAAAGGCAATCCCAGTGGAAATTGGGGTGGAGGGAGGAAAAGATTGGTTATTTTGTTGGTTGTTGTCTAAAAACATTCTAAAAATAATTGGAGATCCTCAATGTAGAAGAATGTGAATAAGAACAAATAAGAATTTACAATGCCAGGCCATTACTGGAAAATAATTGACTGGAGAGTTAAAGGCAACTCCAAGTCCTTCACATTTTAGATGAAAAAAAAAAAAAAAGTAGAAGAACTATTTTTATAATCTAATTTCTTTGAGAATTTCCCAGTTGCCAGGCAGCTGGGGAGGAAAATCATCATGCACTTCTGCAGCTCTGGAGAAGAGTTATGATAGAAGGTTATGGACCCCAAAAGCACCATGCAAGATCAACATGAGTTGAAATTTAACTTTTCACAACCTCAGTTTCAAGACCAGAAAGGTTTTTGTCATTTTATGTTTGAATTAGGGTAGTGCTGGATGGGTTTTTTTTGCTGACACTGTAAAAATACCAGTTAAATAACAGCACTTACACAATAGTGAACAACTCTGCTAATTTCCCAAGAGACCACAGTAYTTCAGCCCTTGGTATTTCCTAAGCTGTGCTATTGCTTCTAGGTGAATAGAGCAGGTATTTTAGAMCATTTCTTCTCTAGATTGGGTAATGTTTTGAAGGAGTAGATTTCCAGACAGAAGTTTAGTGTTGTTCTAGCTTTTTGGGTATTTTATGAAGTTGGCATACAGGAGAAATCAAGTACATTTAGAGATTAATTTATATTTTACTGCAAATAAGTTCATGATTAAATTATTTTTTCATTTTTTTATTATTTTGTGAATGTCCTCTTATGATGGATTTTTTTGAGTCCAATCACTRTTTAGATTTATTAGCCATCCTTTTTGTAAAAGTGTATTGACTGTGAACAAGCAATCACTAATATTTTATTTCATTTTTAAAATTTCAGCGTTACCTGTCAAATAATATTGGCCTGTAAAACTTGTTTTTTTCTGTTGACTAATGAACTACATGCTAATCAGGAAGGTTTTTGCAGTGTCAAATAGCAAACAAATAAGGTATTCTAGAAAAMTGACATTTTCTTCTTATCTGATCTTTAAGAACTTTCCTAAGAGCACTATATATAAGAAAACTGAAGTGATAATTTCAGTGCTTGGCTTGGTAAATTTGCATTATCTTTTCTCACATTTTAGCTAACACAAGCTAATATCAATAATATTTTACCATCGTTTCTGCTTGGTCATTTCAAATCCCAGCCATAAATTCAGCCCCAGGTACTGCATGTGCTGTCTGATATCTGGCTTAATGATCTAAAATCCTGAAACAGCAACAAAGCACTGCAGGAGAATAAGTAAATTGTTACAGAAGCTGTTTGAAAGGATGTACAAAATTTTATCAGTAGTCAAAGATGCCATAACTTGTGTTGTTTCCTTTGACAGTTTTCCTAGCTAATCTGAATAATCAGGAAAAAAAAAACCAAAAAAAAAACCACTCCCTCAACCCCCAAAGTTCTAACTAGTAAACAGCAGATATTATGTAAAAAATACCATTTCAAGTCACACACAACACCATTCCTCTTGTAGAACAAATGGCACAATCTTTGCCAAAATCTTTTTTGAAGATTTTGAGCTCCATAAATTGCTGTCAGCTTTCTCTTCTAAAATCAGATCCGTGCTGTTTTTATGACTTCACCCTCCCTGTATCCCCCAGTCCATGTGCAATGGACAGCTGAATTCAGATTACAGCTTTGGGTTTATGGAAGAAGTCTGAAGAGTGACTTGGACATACAACAAGGGTTAACAAATACAAACATGGGAATGCTCTGACTGAAGAAGAGTTATTCTCTGAAATTCCCATCCTCCATTTCTTTTATTGTTACRTGTCTGCTCCACTAACATTCAAAAATAAACATTCCCATCTGACTCCACCATCCCTTTGAACAAGATCCATATTCCCCCCATCCCCTTTGTCAAGGTTTTAAAATACTGTGGAAAATACTATGCACTGTTAGCAAATAGTTGTACTTCTCTAAAACTGCTCTGAAAAATCATGAGCTACACGGCAAAACCTAACAAGGTGAGAAAACTGAAATCACAAGTTCACTGGTAGCATTTTTATTCTATTCTTACCACAAGATCTGTTTCTGTAGTKTTTATTGCCATTGGTTTCGTTGAGTATTGCCCATAAAACCTGGGCCAAGAACTTTCATTCCATAATGTCTGTCTCAAATATACTATTCAAGTACTTGAGAAGCAAAGCAGCATCTAATTACCCAACCAAACGTAATTATCAGCACTAGTCATTTATTTCATTTCTCAAACTCTACTAGAATTCACACATTTTATATTATTTTCTGCTTAATAACATGCACTCCTTCACCAGTTTAATTACTGCAGAGAGAATATTTTGAGCTCTTTCCAAGGGAGAAAGCCACAATATATGTTCAAGGTCATTTTGTATGGTTTTTTTTTTTTCCTAAACCATTTTAAGAGCTAAGTGAGTCTGGGTTTGATTCTTTCAGGAAAGTCCTCTGTAAACAGAGCACTGTTTTTATCAAAATATGGCAAAATTCTTGAAAAAAATAAATCTGACTGAGACAGAAAAGGAACAAATAGGTCTTACAAAGCTCCTCATGCCATTGACTGTGAGGAGCTCTGGCCCAGTAGGACCAGTTCTCAGATGGGGATTATGAATCCAAACTATGGGGATTATGAATCCAAACTAAGCAAGCTGGCAAGGAAACCAGGATCATGCATATTTTTTTTTTCTTGTTTGGAATAGCTACCACTGCCTTTTCTTCCACTGTTGTTTTTAGGTCTCATTTATTATAAAAGAGATGCTTTAATATCATCCAGAAATAGGATATCTGTTTTAAATCCTAACCTTTGTGATCCATGTTAGTTAAGGTAAAAATTGGATTTCATATTAAAAACTTAGTGCTGAATACTCCCTGTAAAACAGAAGTTTGAAAACACAGAATACAGTCTAAAATGGATTCTTTTCGCCCCTGGGAAGGTAAACTGGTTCCAATTTTCTGTTTTAACTTGCAAGTGTCTTCACTTTCAATTTCTTTTTGTTGATAAAGTTTCCAAAAAGAGACCTATTTGAAGACCTGCTCCAATACTGTTAAGCTGTAACAATAAATCCCACCACAGGGAGACAGGTAGCAGCATAATCTTTCCAAAGCCTTGCCATAACTTTTCCTGCTGTATCTCTTCAGTTCCCATCTAAACAAACACTGCTGGGTGAAATCAGATATCATCCTGCTGTGGAAGCAGAGCCACACACCTTTGAAACAATTTATATTCCCATAGGTGCCTTTGCACCAAAAACAGAGCTATTTTTATATGCAGTGCTTTGTAAGTGCCCATTTATTTCCGTGAATGATCAGTGCATCTTAAGTTGTGATACCTGAGATCGGAATGCAGAGACATAAGATCATTTTTTTAATTTTATGGCAGACATTCTCCTGGGAAAATGAAAAACAAAAGGTAAAAAAAAAAAAACCCTTTTTTGCTTACCTCCTCTACTTCTTCAGGTGCAAATTCTTTTCTTTTATGAGGGTGACCCGCACCAGGTCGAAACGCTCCCATTGGGATGTTAATGTTAGCCTGTGAGAAGGAAATTGAGATGCATRTCATAGTGACTGATAAATAAATATACAGTTGGTAAATGGCAAAAGTCAAAAGGAGTGAGACAAGCATATAGACATTATCATGGTTTCCAAGCACTTATGCCTTCGATGTATCATCATCACACTGGTCCTGGGAAAGAGAAGTGCTTTCTTCTCCATTTTAAAGAGAAAAAATGGAAAAAACAAACTAGAAAGCTTCTGAAGTTCTGTGTTTTAGACTAATTGAAAAGTCCTGACTTCATGGGACTTCAAACAAATGAGTAGTGGACACCGAAATGTTTTAGGCACCGGGTCTGCTTCAGTTTGGTCAAGGTCAAACAGAAAGTGAATGCCAAAAGCAACATTTAAGTGTAAATCACCCAAATCCTTCACTAACACCCAATCACTGGACYACTCCCCATTCTCCAATTTTATTTGGAGCAGAAACCAGTAGCCAGTAGCTATAACATAATTTAGGCTGATAATAGATATCTTAAAAGTAAAGATTTTGGGGAATAGAATGGCACAAAACAGTGCTTAGGAAAGAACAGCTGAAAAGTATCCATTTCCCACTGTGACCCAGCCCAGATTATTTAAAAGTCAAATGGCATGATCAACTAAATGCACAATTTATACTTATTCTTATCTCGTGATCTCAGAAGRGAAGCTGCTCCTAGGAAATGTCATCAAAATATCATGACTCCCACTGGTAAAACCAGGGGCTGAATTGGTAATTTTACAGAGAGGAAGCAGAGAACCTTGGAGCTCTGTTCTCRTCCTTTACCATCTGACTGATCTGCACCAAATGAAGATGAATAATCCCATCCTTCTGCTCAAATCGTGGTCCTGCAGATCRTGCCCCAGCTGGGCAGCCACAGGAAAACAGCTCATGGTTTTCAGTAAAAACAACTATTCTGAAAGCTGTAATCAAACCATAAGCAAATTAAAAATCCATCTGCCAAGAAATGAGTGCTTTTCCCTATTCTACTCACCCATTTCCCATTATTTTATTTATGCAAGATGATGCTGTAATTTCAGTGGGGGTGCCAAATACTTGCAGGGTCATGTAGTTCATAGATAATCAGGTATTTGTTTCATAAGGCTTTTTCATTGAGCATCAGTTTAGTTATTGTTAAACTTTTCACCTGCACTTTTGTGAGTTCCCAGGAGACAGGGAATTTTCAGCCTCACAGTTCCTAACTCATTATTTCATTTATGGGTAAATGAATGGAAAAAAAAACCCAGCTTTGCCATTTCTAATTTTAAGCAACTACCCCACCATGCTCTGGTATTCCAGATTGTTTCTATTTTGGGAATGGGAAACTTCTCTGCAAATACAGCTAGCATGGTCATAMAAGTTTGCAGAGTTGAGATTTGAAGAGATATCTCTCGTTTTGGTGCTCATCCTGAACTTAGATATTCCTTCTCCCACGGCACATTACAGCCCCAGCATGTCCCACAGAGCAACTGTGACCAAAAGTGGTTCCAAGAACAAAAATKAAGCACTAAGTACCAGGTTGCTAATTAAATTCAATTTATCAATTGATCCACTTCAGCACTTTCCCAGTAATTTATGTCACATGAAAGCAGTTTGTAGCTCTTTATCTGCAGTAAGGACATTCACATCAGAGTTTGGGCAAGAATTACTCAGTCATGAGATAATAACTTGGTAAAATGAGCATCCTTTRAGGCACAGTTAAAAACTGTCTGGATCTGACAATACATCCTGTAAATAAAGTATTTCCAGGATGAAATGAAAGTATGGCATTTCCAAACMATTCCTGACAGAGGTACCAAAGTCCTGAGCTGTAAATCTCACTYTTACTGCAATGCTGGTCCTGTCTCACAGATGAGCAACAGCATAATTGATGGGCCAAATTCTGTACACCAGCACAGCTCTGCTAGGACTTGTGTTGTCATCAGCACAAGCTCACAATTTAGTTTTAAAAGAACATTTCAAGGCTTTTGACACCTGTAATCTAAGATGGAGATAAGATCCTCAGGGAT